TGTCATTGTTGTTTTGTTTTATGATATTAAACTGTTATCACTGTTGCATGTGCAGTACAAGAGGAACTTCATTTAGTTGATGCTTACAAGGCCCCAAGGAAAGGTCCTGCCTTTTCCCAGAAGACAGTTCAATCCTGTGCCTAAGCCTTTTGTTAACCGTGCAGTGGGTTCAGTCCGACTAATGGTTTCATATTGTAACACAACTGACCTGTAAATGAGGACAATCCGCAACTGCCCTACCTGCAGTAATATTAATTAATGACTCCAAATCCACACATGCACACACACACATACACACAAAGACACTAAAGGAGGAGAGGGTGCGAGCTATAAACAGTGCATGTGCTGTTTCACCTGAGACTAATGCAACATGAGTTGCAGTCTTTGCTGCACATGACAAGGTTGCTTTAGGTCATTAAGACCATGCAAGATTGTGGTGGCAGCAGACAGAGCCAACTGCTGAGGGATCTACACACTGTGGCACCTTTTCATTTTATTCTTGTATCTCATGACATTTTGAAATATTGTGTCATGAGGTAAAACATTAGATTATGTAAACAGTAGTGCACATGCTGTGAATCATCCAGCACTAGCTGACAGATTTTCCAGGCACTATAACCAGGCACTTCATACACATATACATATATAGACCACATGTCAAGGTAATGAGTCATTGACTGCTGGAAACATACAAAATCAAATATTATTTTGGAATTCAGTCTTAGAAGAAGGATAAAATCTCCAATTGTTATAAAACACCAAGAGCTCTGTTCTAAAACAGGATCTCAAACCCCTGGCCTGTGGGCAACTTAAGCTCATGAACCACCCATGTCTGGCCCACAACTAACTGTCATCCACAGTTGAATTATGAATCATCAAAAACTATAAGTTGTAATTTATTTATTTTAAGCAAAAAGTTGTCACCTATCATATCAAATGATATACAAAAAATATTCTACAAGCAAAACAATGTAGACATTTTTTTTAATTTAATTAGTTTTAATGTTTCATAAAGCTCAAACATTAGGTGCAGTTTTGTGGTTGTTGTTTCTTTACATGTTAGGCTTTACCTTTTGATACTTACTTTACTTGTAATACTGGATTTTTGGGACTATAATACTGTACTATACTATTTCCACACTGAAAGCCACTGGAGGGCACTCTAGGCTTGTGTGCCAGTATCTGCTACTCTTGTACCACTGAAAATCTATATGTTTGTTATTCTCACACTGACAGCTGCTAGAGGGCACTGGTGCGACTTATAATCTGGGAAATTCTGTGTAGGTATATATATATATATATATAGATAGATAGATAGATAGATAGATAGATAGATAGATATGTATGTTTTTGCACAAAATTGTGTTTGTTTTTTTTTCAGTAACAGTCTCTTTAGGTGTCGTCCTTTATTATTTATTATTATTTGCTAATGTGACAATAACAGCTACGACCCTAATCCTATAAAATACAGACCAACTATTAGATGTAGGGTTGTAGGGCAGAATTATGCTACGTTTGTACAGTCAATTTCTCTTTTCATTCTCTGACACATTGGCGTGATGTCATTCTGCTCCTAGTGTCAAACCACAGGTATTGATTGACTAACTCCTTGGTCTTCTTCTGAATCCCATTTTTCCACAGGGATTAAGTGAACAGTCAGTCAACATAAGATCATTTATTTTCTCACTCAATTTTACCTGAGACCTCATTTTTGGTAAAATATCTCAGGAGTTTCTCTTTCAGGGGTTGTCAGTTTAGTTGGTTAATTACTGAAATGATCAGATTTTAAATTCCGAACACATTTTAATGCATTGGCAAAGGAATGCACACACTGTACAGTATATGCCATAACTCCACTCTCCTTGTTCTTATAGTTGTTCTAAACAGTGTTATTTTCTTAGATCTATAATTTACCACTGAGACCTATTCAGCAACCTCATTTAAGATGAAAAAATACACAAAAACTCACAAAAGTTCAACTAAATGAGGTTGAGGAAATGTATCACTGCATTACAATCACTGTCCATCCAACTATTTTTTTAACTTAACTTTACCAGCAAGGCAAATTGTGTTGCCTGAACATCTGGGTTCTTAACCTCAGAGTGACCTCAACACGTCTCGTCGGGCTCCACAGTGATTCTTTCTGACCTTGGCCTCAACTAGACACTACAGACTGACAGCCAGAGTAGTACTGCACGCAGAGATCTCTTCATTCTGCCTCCTTGAAACCAAGTCAGAAGTCATTTTCTGCTCACAGCTCCTCTTAAAATGTTCCCTGGGTGAAAAATGATTTTATCAATAACCTCTTGTCACCCACAAGCTTTTCACCAGTAACACTCTGCTTACTGTGAAATGCTTCTGCTGTCACATATAGAGCTTGTGAAAATGTCTTTTGCTACAGAAACACGCACATATGCGCATATTATCCAAAGTATGTGCTGCTGGCGTTTATTGTTTTTATGGTTTTAATAGAAATTAAGATATAATAGAAATAGAAATTATCTTTGGAATAAATTAATAAATCTGTATTGTCAAAGATGAATCTATTAAGATTGTAGTTCAGGCCGTATAAGATGAAATTCCACAGAAGGTAAAAGCTGTGCAGACACACAGACGCTCATTGTTGGAGCACAATGCTCATCAATAGGCTTTAGGCTGTAGGTGGCATAAAAAGAGCACAATGGACATTCAAGGTGTCAACACATGACACGTACTAAAAATAAAAACAGGCAAACGTTGACGTATTTGTTACTTTAAAAGAGAGTGATTATTATAGGAACTTGGCTTTTTTATTTCCTATTATAGCATAATGTGCTTTTATTCCTATTTCTAAGTTTTCATCTGTTCATTTTCGGCTTAATAAATTACATGGCCACTCCACACATACATACACTAATCGCACACAAAAAAGTATCACCATGAGTTTTTAGCTGCCATAAGGAAGGTGTGATCATTTTCTTTCACTGATTCAGCACAGAAACCTTTTGTGATATTTTTCTGCTCATCTGGTTTTGTTAGGAATGTATTTTTTTCCATTAATGCAATTTTTCCATTAGTTTGCCTGGAAACTGCATTTCAACAATATTGTTTTCAAACCAGGCTTTTATAAAATTTTATAGAGCATATAAAAATATAATATATAAAATAAACTCAAGTCTGTTAGGAAAGCAGGTTGTAAGCCAAAGTACCCACCCTTGAATATTTTACATTTAATCAGCAAAGTTTCTTGCCTCACTGATACCCTCTAGATCAGTAGTGGGCAAACTTTTGGGTGGATGTAATAGTATAAATAAACTAAACAAGATTAAACCTAACCTCTCACAGACTCAAATAACATGAAGTGAAATTACAGCCAATCCATTGTAATGAATGAAATGGAAGGATCGACATCAGGATTTATTGTGTCTTGTACCAATGCTTTGCGGGCAGGAATAGAAAATCTAGTGGGCAGTATCTGGCCCATGAGCCCTGGTTTTCCAATGTCTGCTCTAGGTGAAGATGATCTCCACTTAATTAAGTTTCCAATCTGCCAGTTAACCAAAGAAAAATGCTAAGTGTGTTAGCGAGATCAGCCATTTTACACCAGCCTGCATCAAAACTGAGTTACAGACATTTTAGTTAAAAAACTAGAAATGTATGTGCCAGCGAATTGGCTGCCGGTCAAGACATTTTCTGCCCTTTTTTAGTTAAAAAACTAGAAATTTATGTGCCAGCGAATTGGCTGCCGGTCATACCGTTACTGTTACCATCATTGAATAGAACTTTAAAAAATGTAATTAGCGCCACCTTAAGGCCATGTGTTAACCACATTTGTAAATTTGTCAAATGAAAATTATATATCACCCTGTGATATCTGTAGTGTGGCGGGGATGCTTGGAGTTACTATTTCTTGATGCTTTCTTGTCGCTTATTAGATCAGTGTTTGTGCAGTCAAATTAGTTTCAACAGCTTGTCAAAGATGAGGTAGAAAAAAAAACTGCGAGTGTAAGTATATCAGACAGTTGGTGGAGAAGCAGCTGCCACTTTGTCACACTTTGTTAGTCACTGAAAACTCTAAGCCTGTCTGATTTACTCTGATTTAAAAACTGCCATTGTTTGATGATGCTCACATTTATCGCTGTATGTTTTTTTTTCATATATATCAGCTGCTAATGGGGCGCTACCATAAAATGCCATAAAGAGGCGTTTAATGGGATTTGACTATTTGAGTAAACATTTTAAAATGCATGAAATTATTTACAATATATAAACATATACATCCTTTCAGCAAGCGCTGAATCTGAAATGCAATTTCAACAACATTAAATGTAAAACAAACAAAATTAGGGGAGATAATGGACGCAAACCACTAGGAGAGAAAAACGGAATAATAAAATAACTGTCATAGCTGTGGGCTGAGACATTAACAGCTCATTTGATCAGGTTCCAAAAACATTCAGTTGTGGTTGTTTTGAACAGTTTACCATGAGACTGTTTCTACTGTGTAAATATCAGTTCATTTACACTCAGATGAAAATAGGACGTTAAGCTGTCGTTACTTCACTGCAGCAGATTTTTGGACCATTTCATACTTTGAATGGATTAAACTGGAGACCTATAGAAATGACAGGGGATCACATACCTATATAAGCCCAAAAATCTGAAGCTAGTCTAATAAAAGTCAGGGTGTCTGACCTGAAGTTTTAGCCTCTGCTAATACACGCTGGGTGTTGAGTGCAAATAACAATGTGTATCTACTGTTTGTTACAGCAATAATATGAATAGATACTTGCTAGACGT